GACAATAATGACCAAATGAGATAATGATTATAAAGTGCTTAGCACAGTGCCTGGCATATAGTAAGCACTGTATTCTCTTTATTATTATTAGTATACCTAGCATTTATATGGTGCTTTAAGATCTGCAAAGAACTCTATTAAATATTTCCTCATGTTATCCTCACAACAAACCTGGGAGGTAGGTACTATTAAATAGATAAAGAAATTGAGGTGGGGCAGTGGATAGAGCGCCGGCCCTGAAGTCAGACCAAACACTTGACACTTACTAGCTGTGTGACACTGGGCAAGTCATTTAACCCCAACTGCCTAAAAAAAGAAAAAAAAAGAAAAAAAAAAGAAACTGAGGCAGGCAGAAGATACGACTTGCCCAGGATCACACAGTAAATGTCTGTAATTAGGTTTGAACTCAGATTTTCCTGACTCCAAGACAGCGCTCTATTCACTGCTCCAGGCTATGCTTGATACTCATTTTAACCTGATTTCATCTATACCACAATGGTGATGGGGAAGATGGTGCATCACAATATAATTGGCCCCAAGCCTTTACACACCCCCAAAAGATGTCCTGGTCCCTAGGAGGGCACTGGAGTTCCTCTGCCTCAGTCTTCTTATTCCTTTGACCCAAAAAAGGGTGAAAAGGACATGGGAACTGACAAGGTAGTCTTCGGGAAAAGCCAATTTTCTTAAACTTTTTAGCCAAAACCTACTTTAGTGAGGTCAGCTAAGGCATTTATCTCTTTCTCCCCTTCCTCTTTTTTGTAAATTCTCCAGAAGCCATTCCCTGATCCTCACTTGCCATTACTGACTGCATGCTGTGCTCTGAGGAGCTACTTACCCCCTGAGTAACAGGCTAATATATAGAATCACCATCAATTACATGAACAGAGAATAGCACTTACTATTCAAAGAAGACAAACTCCTAGAAAATTGTTACTTGGAAAAAATACCAGAGTAAGTATTCATAATAACACAGAGGATCAAAAAGATCTTGAAATACCCATTTTACAAGGACAAAAATTGGCCTTTCAGCATTTCCACTTTCCTTCCTGAGGAACTGATTTTTTTGGGGGGGGGGTGGGGGGGGGAAGAGAAAAACCACAGGAGAAGAATTATCCTAACAATTAATGAAGATAAAGTGTAAATTGAATAACTGTTTATTTATTTAATGAAAGGAACACTGCAGTGATGATTACATAGTCTAATCACAATTTATGACTTAGCAATAAAAGCAGTGTTTAAGAAGGATTTTCTAAAACTGACTATTGATAAGAGGCATTTTTAGGGGGGAGTTATCCAAAGAGATACACATGTCTGCAGAGCTATCATTTGAATCTGATCTGTAGTGAAGCTAGATAAAAGAGGAGAAAGCACTGCAACAAAGCATTCTATTATCCAAAGTTTCATTATCAGAAGCAAGAACAAAAGAGGCCTGAAACTGTGTTTCCAGGCCCTAAACTACTCTGAAGAAACGTTTAAGACAAGCAGCATTGTTTTCTCCTGAACTGAAACTGCCTATTCCTTAGCATCTTCAGAAACCACTAGCATCTCTTGAGCCTTCATCGCCAGCTCAACCTTTTCACTTACGTCTGCCATCATCACACCACTTCCACCGCAGCCACAGAACTAGCTCTGAGAAGTCAACTTATCTCTTCCAATAAGCATTTATTAAACACTTACTATGTAAAAGGTATTGTCAGGTGCTCGGGGTACAATGACCAAAAAAAAAGAAAAGAAACTCAGACCTCAAAGGGCTGGTACTCTACTGCGGGTGGAGGGTGAGGAGTGGAGATACAACAGAGAAATGCAATTCATGGAGCTGACCCCAAATAATCCAATAATAGTAGGTCACAGGTAAGTAGTGCTGTAAGATTTACCTAACACTTCACACACATCTCATTTGTTCTTCACAACAACCCTTCAGGTACATGCTGTTAGCTGCCCCATTTTATAGGTGAGAGTTGTGTAAGCGACTTGCCCAGGATGATACAGCTAATAAATGTCCAACCCATATTTAAATCTAGATCTTCCTAACTCCAAATCTGCCTTAAGAAAGAATTAATTATTAAATTTAATATATTAAACAGCATTTATGCCCATGGATGTTTGGAAACGTGGCCTAATGTCTGCAAATGTGAAATAACTAAGAGTAAATTAATTTATCCAGGTCACAGCTTCACTTTCATTTTCACTTGACTCCATTTATTGATTTGAACAGCTAATTAAGATATTGCTGCCTCGCTTGGAAAGAAGCCCTGAAATATAACAAGATGTAGAAACATTTTTATTTAAATCTGCAATTACATGGCAGAAACCCACTCTTATGTCACTATTTTAACAAAGTCAGATTTCAACGAGATTCATTGTCTTAAGGTCACAAATGACAGATGGATAAACAGGATTTTGATGAATGAATCTGGCAACAGTCATTTCCTTTTCACAGACATTAGTCTAAGCTATTTCCATGACCAAAGATTTACCATATTACCTCACTTATGTTCTTCATATCTCAATGATATTCCTTCATATTTCATTGAAATTAAGGCCATCCAGTATGAGCTTCCTCATTTATCCTCTTGTTCATCTCAAACTACCTTTGTATCCATCACTTTTTTCCCCTCCCTCAAAGGGAGAAGTCTTTCCTCTGTTCCAAGGAAAATTCATACTCTTCTGTTCTTGATTCAAATCCTCGCATGCCCACTCAGGGACTTTACTCCATCAATTAGTCCTTCTCTTTGGTACATCTTCAATGTTTTCCTCTCCTTTGACTTCAAAGAAGCTCATGTTCTCTTCTTTTCTATCAGGCTTCTCCAAAAAGCAATTTAAGATACTGAATTTGGGGTGGTGTGGAGGGATTCATGGGTCTTTCCTACTACTTAACATCAAATGCTCTTTAAATAAGTCACTTTTGTGGTAAGTCACTGGCCACAGCAGGAAATGAAAAACAACCCTCACACCAATCACTAAATGAATAAACACATTTATTAAGTTCCTGTTATGTACCAGATATTGTGCTAAGTGCTAGGGACATAAAAAGAAACAAAAGATAGTCCCTGCCCTCAAGAAGTTTACAATCTAATGGCGCAGTCAATATGCAAACAAATACATACAAAGTAACCTATATACAGGATAAAAAGAAAAAAAATTAAAGGAAAACATTAGAATTAAGAGGGCTTAGGAAAGACTTCCAGTAGAGATGGGATTTTAGTTGGGACAGGTAAGTCAGCAGGCAAAGTTAAGGGAAGAGAGCATTCTAGGTATGAGGGACAGAGAGAGGCAAAATGCCCAGACCGAAGAGGAGGAGTGTCTTGTTTGTGGAACAGCCAGGAGATCCTGTAAGTCCTTCTTTGCTGGGCTTTCAGTATGCTGAAGCACAGTGGCTAGACCTTGTCCAAATATGGTAGGCTGACATCTCTTTAGTCTTAGCCACCACAGCCACCCATGCAGTGCTGCAAGGTTAAAACTAGCTCTTTCCTTTGTGAACCCTCCATCTGAGCTGGAGGTCAAAGTAAGTCACTCTTATATACCCCAGGATCCTCTCTGGCTTAGCTGAAAATTAATTTGAGCCAGGACAAAAGGTAATATGAGTTGAATAAGTCAATATGAGGGCATTTGAAGAAGATAGTAGAGCTCACAATCCCCACAAGGGCTGGGTAAGCATGGATGAATCACAATCTGCATTGCTGGAGGTAATATCCAAATCAATAAAATCATCCATTTGATCTATTTGAATATTGAGAAAGGTTTCCTTATAACTTTCACCTTACTTTCTAATATCCTCTCCACCCACCTTGGCATTTTCTACTTGATATTGTAACACTATTTAGATCTACATTATATTTATCTCCATATCAAAGCTATGCCTGAATCCTTAATTGTCTCTTTTTGCTTCATCTTGGACCTCCCTCCAACAATTATCCCCCATCTGTCTGGTATCATTAATCCTATGTCTTGGAGGCAATGTATACAGCGTTAGGAGCCACTGAACTTGGAAGCAGGAGGCTTAAATATTGGCTCTGTCACTATAAAATCACTTAACTACTTGGGGCACTGGTTTTCCTATGCACAAAATTAAGGAGCTAAATGGTTTCTTAGGTTCCTTCCAGCTGTAATATCCTATAGTCTCTCTCTCTGTCTCTCTCTTTAATGGTTCCTACCCTTTAGCCTGTGAATCTATTCAACTCATTCTTATCCCAATGCTTTATTCCCTTGTCTCTGTTACTGTGTCTGATTTAGTTTCTTCCTTTCACCATTCAGTTTCTGGAAGGAATGGTTTAACCTTCATTACCTACACTTTTCCATCATTCATTGTAATGTGGATTCCATTTCTACAACCTCATTGAAACAGTTTCTTTAACTTTAAATGCCCTAAGATCTGACACCACTAGGGTAGTACCATCAGGCAAAAACCAACTTCATAGTACCTGGTTTTAGGACTGCCATGGGAGTTCCCTACATGGAATGGCCCACTCAGCTGGTGAGAGGTACAATAAAAACAACTGATGGATTATATTCATTGTGGGTCATCCTCTGTACATATCTGGCACCTCAATCTGTGGAGATTATCCAGTGTGCTGGCACTTAATCTGGACTGTACTTGCAGGATGACTATCTGGTAAGACTCTAGGAGATGAAAGACATCCTGTCTTTAAATGTAGATGACCCACTATACTTCCACTTACTGTGTGAAATTCATGTGCCTTGCCCAAGGTTCAAAATCCCTTAGGTCATTTGCTAAGAGGAGCATTGCCTCTTCGGTGTTCTTTGGACAGTTATCACATGAAATACATAAGAATTAGGTCAATACAAAAATGTGTTTAAACATGAACATTTAATTCTTAAGTAGGTCAGAATGGCAAGATCACAGGAAAAGTGAGAAGAGGTATATGAACTACTAAATCAGAACCAATACAGCATAAATGAGAGAGGGCTGGCCTTGGCCTAATGAAGATCTGGGCCCATGCGGTGCCTCAGACCCAGTGCCACTGGCAACTCTCTAGGATTCTCAGTTACAGAGGAGTTGCCTATCTGAATCTGTAGAAGGAGTTTCCACATTACAATTTCTTTACAGTGACCAAATAACAAATGTGGACTGAAAACCTCCAAAACATAAAATAAGAATGGTTAAGTTCTTATGCCTAGAGAAAGTAAGTTCATCTCTCATAACCATAAGTATTGCACAATTTAAGCACTGCACAAGTACCTGGAAAGAATTTTTTAAAATATTAGTCCAATACTGATCCTAACTATGGAATTTTAACAAAAAGCTTTTTTAAAAATGAATATGAATAGAACAATATTATGGTTTAGCTTTACAAAGATACCTTTTGATTTAGAGATTAATGATTTCCATGCTGCACCTCCAATCCCTCTGACACATACACACTAGATTGCTACTGAGAGGTATGAGTAAAAGAGACCTCCTTTCCTTCACATATATAGCATCTTATTTCCCTAAGACCTGTTTTTGATACAAACTAAGCTAAAATGCAAACATCATAATTTTTAAAGTGATTTTTACTCAGTTTGATGAGTGTCCCCCCCCTCTTATGTCACTGGGAAATAAACTATTTTCACCAGCTAAAAAGGTACCAACACATGAGTTGTAATTTTCCTAGAGCCAAGGTCAATCAGGAGAACATGTGCATTGTCCCAATTATTTCCATATTCTTAAAGAAAGCTTCTTCGGAGTTAAAAATTATTCTGAGATGACAATTTCATATAAAGTTATTAAGCTTTTCCACACTTATGTTCATCACTGTCAGGATCCATTTTGACTGATTTTTTCCAAGTTCTTAAGAGTGACAGTAGTCTAAAAAACTGCAGTGGTCACTCAGACTATTTTTTTTTAAAGTACAACCATTATATAAAGGCTATCATTTTAAAAAACCTGGTTCAGTTTAAAAGAACTATGATAACCAGGAAAGATTTCAACTTCCTTACTAATGACAGAATTGTTTGCATGTACTTGCATAGCATTTTTTTTCTCTTTAAAGACAAAATTACTGGTCAATGAAAAACTGGTCTGTACAAAGGCAGATTCTCTAAGTCTATTGTTTTTCACTTTTTATTACAAGAAGAAAAGTATGTGAGAAAAAAAAGTTGCCACTTAACTGAGTTCTCTTTTGAACATTTAGGAACAAAATTTAAAAGTCAAGACAATTAAATTAAATTTATTTTTACAATACAAAAGCATGATTGCTCAGCAGCTATTTGATGATCCTGAAAGCTTAAATTTTTACATTTTCAAAAGGACAAGATTAAAAATTAAAACTATAAAAGGTAGGAAAACTACTACTTCCCAGGAACTTCAACCCTGGATGTCTTTTCTTTAAGAGAAAAACAAATTAATATATAATATTGCATATTACTGAAGGAAAAGTTACTTGCTTCTTTTCATGAACTTTTTTGCTTCTTTCAAAAGCTCTTCAACATCTTCGTCTTCCTGGTCTTCATGTGCTGGCTCCCAGTCAGAATCCTCATCTGTTGGTTCATACTCCTCTTCTTCGTCATCTAAAAAGCTGTCATTCAAATCATACTCATTCGGTTGGCCATCATCATCACTATCTTCATCCAAAACACTTGCACCTACACAAATAGAAGATTTGAATACTTAACAACTTAATTACTTCTAAATCATTACTGTCTCTTAGTTAGCTAAAGGCTAATTTCAGAAGCTCTGGTTGCAGGAGAGAAAGAAAAACCAAAAGTGAGATGAGCAGCCACCACAAAGTTCTAGGAAGTACTCTAAAAGTATCATTTATCCACATGATGGGGCAGTATAATATAATGGAAAAAGCACTGGTTTTGGAGTTAGGAAGCCTGAGTTTGAAGACTGGCTCTGACACTAGCTTTGTGACCTTGGTTATTTAATTACTTAATCTCCAAATCTCAGTTTACTCATCTGCTATATGGAGAAAAGACTTGCATTACTTACCTTACAGAGTTACTGGAACAAAGAACTTTGTAAACCTGAATAGTCCTATAGAAGTGGAAGTTATTATTATAAGGTTTTCAGCAACTGCCATTGGTTCTGATCCCCATTAAGACATAGACTGGTATAAATAAAGTTAAGTCCCTATGGCCATCATAATTACTAATAATACTATTTACTAAAATGTGCTATTGAGAGTATCAGGCCACATAATATCTGCAAAAAGTTTTGAAAAGTAAAGTTATTATAATTTTATGTTAAAAGCATTTAGCTTGTCAAAGCTAATATTTCTATAATTATACTTATATAAAAAATTTCCAAATACCATGCTCCTGGCACCCAAATGGAACCTTTATCCCACCCCAATATATAGTTCCTCCACAGTAAGCAAGAGGAAAGCAGAGTACAACCATAACCAAGAGTGGCTCCACTTTGAAAGCCTTTGCCTAAAATTCTATACTAAGTACGTCAGAACACACGAGTTTTAAACAAACACTGAAATGAAACATCTGGTTAGATGGATCTGGATCACAGGATAAGAAGTTAGCACCTTTGCCTCTGAATGCAACCCTTTTTTTTTTTTTTCACCTGAATCTAGGATTTCTTTGGTGTGGTGAACCAGAGTGTGGAAATCCCCTTCCCAAATGCAGATAGGCAGCTCATCTGTAACTTACAGCTTCAGACTGTTGCAGTGAGGGTAAGAAGATTGCCCAGATGTGTGCCCAAGGTAACACAACTTTAGTATTCATCAGAGGCAGTATTTGAACAAGAGCCTTCCTGATTCCAAGGCCAACTTTTAATCCACTACACCTTTCTGCCTTTCACCTCTGTAGACACAATGGTAATTTTTTTCCTAAAATATTTATATACAGTTGGATAGAAAATCAGAGATGGTGGTCACTGAGCTAAAGGCATCTAGAATTTAGAAATAAGCAAAGAAACAATGAAGATGAATGAAGAATTATAAAAGGCGAGGTTTTTTTTTAAGTAAAAGAAAATAAATAGCTTTATTCTTAGCCTCTTCAAGGTCAAATCAAAGCTGCTCATCTTCAAAGTCACTCTTGGCATCTGAGCAAGCTGTAATCTGAAGGACTGTAGGTTTACAGCTAGAAGGGAACTCTGAGACCTTCTGGTCCAATGACTTCATTTTACAGATGAGAGAACTGAAGCTCAATGAAGGTAAAGGACTTTCCAACAATCACTGGGATTCAAACTCAGCTCATCTGACTCAAAATCTAATGTGCTCTCTACCACACAGGCTGCTTCTCTGAGAGCCAGGCCACCTGAAAGGGAACTCCCAAGTGGTGGGCAAACAAAATTAGCTTTCTCCCAATTGTTTTATACAATAATGGACCCAAGTGACAGCAGGTCATTTTCAGCTGACATTATGCTAGAAATAACACTATATGTGTTTTAAAGCACTGACCTGAGACTGTCTGTGTACCAAACAATTATCAGACCTTCTAGCAGCAATTAAATTAGTGACTTTGAGATTTACATATATCAACAATCATCGAGTTGGGAGCTTGTTTTTTTTTAGCTTTCTAGCAGTCTAGATGTATTTTTAGGGGAATGTCAGCCCTCTTCTTCAACAAAGCCATGCCAAACAGCATTCAGTAAAGGTTAATGCATGCCTATCGGCTTGGCAAACTGCTTTGAAAAGAAGGCACTTGATCCTAACTATGACAAGCTTTCTTGTACCTTGGCAACAAGTTCAGGAATCAAGACTCTATTTCTAAAATAAATACTGCTAACCTTTTCATTTAAGTTGCTTGGGAAATAATAAGAAATTGTGCTGTGTCTATCTAAGGAATGAAGTGACTATCTTCATAAAATAAACGTAATTTACTTTTATGCAAAAATTAAATACTGGAACATTTAACACATTAAGAAAAAACACAAGTTTTCTCTGATTTAGAAAATATAGCATAATTATACCTAGAAACTGGAGATCTAAATGAAAAGAGATAAAATCTGTAAAGCTCAATGGGATTCTACAACTTTAGTTACTACAGAGACAATTCAGAAGAAGATCGCCATCCAAGAGAGTTAAGATCCTAGGGTACCAAATGAACTGTTATAAAGCAGTCTCGCCATTAAGGTGGTTGGCTGCTGGGCAACAGTCCCTAGAAGAGAAAAGAGCTACAGAAATGCCTGTAAGTCCTCTCTTCTATATGGTAAAAATCTTCAATTCACCCACCGGATTCTCGTATGGCATTATCTCAATGCCCTTCACCATACTGGTCACTCTCCTCTGGATTCTCTCCACCTTATCAATATTGTTCTTAAAACAAGGCAACCAAGCTAAGGCAGAGTATGGCAGGGTTATCCCTTCACTGACCTTAGATATCATGTCTTTATAACTATGAATATTCTGACACCTTCCTACTTTTCCAGCCTCATTATACCTTTGCTCCATATATATGCTCGATGGTCTAGCCAAACTGGTCTCACCATTCCTCACATACAACAGTCCATCTGCCATCTCAGTGCCTTTGCACTGTCTGTTCCTTTTCCTGGAACAATCTCCTTCTTCATCTCTGCCTCTTGGAATCTGGCTCAGCTCAAGCACTCTCTGAGGTGCTATGAAGCCATCAGGACCACTTTGGGGAGGCAGTGATTCTGAGTATATTATCTGGCCTACACTTCTTCATTTTGATAACAATAACAGAAAGAGATGCTATCAAATACTTGGCCATCATCTAGGTAAACTAAATCTTGATCTAAGTTTTAAAAAAAGGAAATATGGTTAATTTGGCTAGGCCTATTCTTAATGAAGTCATGGTGGCTCTTTGCAATCAAAGTTTCCTTTTCTTGATATTTACTAACTATCATTTTAATACTACATTCTAGAATTTTATCACTCTCTCCTCTTTTTTTAAAAAAATCAGAGCCTCTAACCTTCTCTTCTCTTTAGCACCTCTTCTGTTCTCTACAATCCATCAACTATCACTGGCTCAGCAATCACATCTAATAGTTCCTTCCATAACTTGGTACACCCAGTTTGGCAGAACCTAGTGATCTAAATATATCCAAGGTAGCAAAGTAATCAAACATTGATTAAATGCCTCCTATGTGCTAGGAACAGTACTAAGCACTGAGTATATAAAGTCAAATGTCAAAAAGTCCTCTACCTTGAGTAGCTTACAATCTAGTGAGTAGAGACATGTACAAAATATAGACATATAAAACAGAAACAAGGTGATGGGGAGGGAAGAAGGAAAGAAATGGAAGCTAAGGAGATCAGGAAAGACTTCATGTTGAAAGTAGTACCTCCAGGGACAGAGCCAAGATGGCAGAGCAAAGTAATCACTTTTTCCCAGCTCCCAACATACCCCTCTAAACCACTTTTAAAAAGCACATCACAACCAAATTCTAAGTGGGATAACCAATAAAAAGTCACAGTGAGTCATTTTTATAGCCCAAGGCACCTAAAGAAGACTGAAGAGTTTGTAGACCCTGGCAGCAAGGTGACAGCAGCAGCAGTAGCGATAGCACTGAGAGTGCTTAGCACCTGGGACACTTTAGAGGACCACCATGCTAGCACTAGGTGCAGGACCAGGTGCCATTTGGCATCTTCACTGACCATTACTCAGTTTCAGTTATAAGGTCCAGAGTGAAGAAGATCATTTGCAGTTGCAATGAAGCAAGGACTCCACCTGGGTAAGGACCAAAGCACAGACCAGGAAGGCAGTGACCAGACCTCTGCCCAGGTCACACTACCTAGCAAGCACTAAAAACCTACATGCTTCCAAACCTGAGAAAGCAGCAGGACATAAAAATCAGAAGACTAGACCCAACATCCCCACTGTCCCAGAGTGAGCAGAGCCCAGCTCTAAAATAAAGTCCAAAATCAAACAAAATTTAATCAAAATGTGAACTCTCTTATAGGAAAAACAACTGACCTGGAAAGGAGAGATAATTTGAGATTATTAGTCTACCTAAAATCCATGTCTGAAAAAAGGGCCTAGACATCATATTTCATGAATTTATAAAGGAAAACTTCTCAGATATCAGAACCAGATGGTAAAATACAAAGTGGCATTCCCTTTACCCCCACCCCCACTCCCACAAAACCCCTGAAAATAAGATCTGCTTTTAGGAAAAAAAAATCAATACAAGTTCTTTCAATTTTTTCCAAGTAGTAGTACTGTACATCATATAGTGCAAATAAAAACCATTTCTCTTTTTCTGTTTGTGTATCCTCAATGTTCTAAATGAAGATTTTTTAGAATCTGAATCTACATTCCCTTTATAATTTTACTGTAACTGTCCACTTTTATCAGATATTGTGTTTTCAGAATTGTTGAAGAAGTGTTTGTCAGATGTATTTTTTAAATCAGATCATCATTTTACAAGTAAATTATATAAGCAGAGACTTTCTGAAACTGCTAATTTTCCATGCAGATTTTCTGTATTGGGATTTAAGATAGCAGCTATTTTAACAAAGATCAACAGCTGATAACTAACACTTCAATATTTTCTTCTTTATTAAGCAAGAAACTTCATCAAAAAAATCTTTTTTTCTTTGTAAAAACTTTCATATTATATCTATGGCAGTTTCTTTTCTTTTAAAAGAAAAAAAGATGTGTTGGATCTGATTAGAAATGCATTATAGCAGATCATGAGTAGCATTTTCAATTTCACTGACAAGAAATATATAACATTATAAAATTTCTTTTAAAAATACACAATTTTACTTATAGAAATGCCATTTCCTTTCACGTTCCAATGTTCCAAATTGAATTTTCAAATGTAATAGAAACTTCTATTTTTAGCACTTCTCATCATCAGTGGATGTGCAGATTATGTGAAAAATGCCCCCATCTCCAACTTTGCCTGTTGAAATCCTACCCCTCTTTTAAAGCCCAGCCAAAAACCAACTCTATCATGAAATCTCTTCTTATCATTTTTTTATTTCCCTCAGTCAGATTCTCCCCAAATCAGAAAGTATTTTGTTCTGGACATAAGGAATTCATCATCAATTATTTTGTGTTATAGCTATCTTGTATTAGTTACTAACACTCTCCCCCATTCCCACCCAAAAAAGAGAAACAAAAAAAAAACCCCAAAATCCATCCAAAGAAAAAACCTCTATTTAAGATTAATATTCTTCAAGTGATGCTACATGTTATGAATCATGCAACATCACACTCTATGAAGAATCAAAATTGTGAGTGATCTAAAGTGAAATAGAAAGATACACAGTGGGCATAAGCAGGCTGCAGTCTATTACTAACAATGACATGTGCAAGAAGTGGAGGAGGAGGTAACATTGAGGAAACAACCAGAAAGGGAGGAGTAGGGAAGAACAGAGAGACAACCGGAAGGCGGCACTAATAATCCAAGAAATACTAAAGAGGAAGCCTTCTGGGACATGAGACAGATTCCTTGTGGAGGATTTGTGGAATGACACAAAAAAGAATCCTCTAAGAGGTGTGGATGGCTTGTCACTTGTGTCCTTGGAGGGAGTAACCACCTAAGTGAGGTTGGAGTTCCACTGAAATATAGTTCTTGGTCCCTCTCCCCACTAAGGGCAGGAAGTATCTCATCTAACCTTTTATCTCATCTAGGCCTTAACACAATGCAATGCCCAAAGAAGACACCTGATGTTTCTTAAACTGAATTATTTTTACATCCCAGTATGTAAGAAGATTTCATCAGATTTTCATCTTGCGTTTTTTTTTTCTTCAGTCTTTCTCGCACAGAATAGCAACCTTTTAAAAGTTTGTTTTAAACCACATTACTCACCTTTCTTAGTAGCCTTGTGTCTAGATCTTTTGGTTTTCATCTCTGCAGAAATACACACAGGTGTTATTATAGTAGTAGAGAGATACTTAAGTAGAATTGAATAAAAAATTCAAGCTTCAAAGAATATTTTTAGCAAATTACAAAGAAAATAAATACCAACTGGAGTATGACATTTTAACAAGGGATCAAAATAACAGATGAATATGGCATGGAGATTTCTTTAAATTCATTTTTGCCAAGGTAAAACTAAGTATTTATAAACTCACATACTCCTCTATCAAGAGAGACATGAGCTAGTAGATAAAATGATAGACCCAGCATCAGGAAGACTTAAATCCAGATCCCATGGGTAAATCCCTTAACTTCTAGAAGCATCAGGTAACTCTATAAGACTTAGCTACTAAGTGCCAACACTTAGAAAATTATAGATCCTTGACTTTTCTAAATTAGATTCTTCTACTACTCAAGTCCTTTTCTTTTTAAAGTAATATATTATACACTTTAAGCCAAACCAAATGAATATTTAACAAATATTTATCTTAAAATACATTTTTATTGATATATTTTGTTTTGACATCACCCAAATTTCCCCGTCTCTTTCCTCCTAAAGGGAGCCATCCTTTAAAACAAATATTTTAAAGGGAAAAAAGGGAGAAAATCAATAAAACTTTTTAATATATCAATAAAACCTGACTTATACTTAAGGTTTTGTACCCACATACCCCTCCCCTCTGCAATGGAGGGCAGGTATCTTCTCATTATTGTCTATTACTTATTTCTTCTTTGTACTTTTGCATTCTCCTTTTGTTCCCTATATTTATGCATAAAGTTATCTTTCATATAGTATATTCCTTTTTACAATCAATCAACAAACATTTATTAAGTGTTTAATACATGCCAGGCATTGTGCAAGGTGCTGGGGATACAAAGAAAAAAATTCAACCGTCCCTGCCCTCAAATAGCTTGTCATCTACCAAAGGAAGCAACAAAGAAAATACAAAGCCATTCTAGGGTAACAGGCCCTAGCAGCTACAGAGAACCCCTAGAATGACCCTGTGTTTACTTTGTTTATACCCATTGCAACGAGGCCCACGAAAAGCCTTTGATGAGAAGCAAAAGAGGCATGGGGAGCCAGTGTGCTTATACCACATTTGCATACATCTACTCTCTTAGTCTGGCTTTTCATCACGTATCATTAATTGTTAATGTTTTTACATCCTTTGAAAATCTTGGTAAAGGTATAATTTATTCAAAGGTATTCAAAGGTAAAGTTATGTTCATTCCTTGCTGCGTCCCGACCCAAGGCCCTTCAGGACTAATCCATTTGTAGACTGGTGCGTTGTCTCCCTGATGAGACACGATTCTTCAGCACAAGTACAATGCATTTTTGTCTCTTGATTCCCCCAGACCCAGTATGCTCTGTCACAGTATGAGTGCTTAGCAAATGCTTGTTGAATTGATTTGTGCCTAAGAAGGCACAAGAGCTGAACTTTCAAGAAAACTGGAGGTTTTAAGAGTCTAGGGGAAGAAGGGAATGCATTCTTGGCATGGGAGGGAGTTTGTATGAAGGCACAGAGATAAAGGATCAAATGTCACGTTTGAGGACGAGGAAGTTTGGCTGGATCTCAGATTGTGTGAAGGGGAATAAGGAATAATAAACCTGGAAAGGACAGTGGGATCCGGGCTGGGAAGTACTTTAAATTTCAGATGAAAGAATCTATATCGGTCCTAGAGCTGAAAGGGAGTCACTAGAGCTCACTGAGCATGAGAGGGATATGATCAGTCTGTACTTGAGGAATATCATTTTTGCAGGTGTGTGGAGAATGGGTTGGATCCAGGAGAGACGTGAGAAAGGGAGATCAATCAGAAGATATTACAATAATCTAGATGAGAAGTGTGAAGGGCCTGAACCACAGTGGTGCTGGGTGAGTGAAAAAAGTGCACAGATGAGAGATGCTGAGGAGACCACATATAAGACTTGTCACCTGATGAGCTATGTGGGACATGGGAGAGTGAACCTCAGTTGACTGAAGGATGATGATGCCTTCAACAGGAAGAATAAAGAGGGGGAGGGGAGCTGAAGGAAAGGGACATCCTGGGTTTGAGATGTTTCTGGACATCCAGTGAATGGTAATGTGAGACTGAGGCTAAGGAGAAAGACTTGGACTGTATCTCCAGACTACAGAATTATTTGCATAGAAATGGTAACTGTTGTTAATTCTCTCTCCTTTCATAAATTAACTTTTATTTACTAATCTGTGTCCATGTTGTATCCTTCCCGCCTTACCTCCAACCCAGCCACTCAGTAAATGCTAAGTTTCTCAAGATCAAGGACTGCTTTTTTGTTTAGCTTTATATCTTCAGTGCCTCACACAGCAACTGAAGCCTCGCCATTCAAACAGAAACTTCTCTGTTGAGCTTTTAAATCCCTTTACAGCCTGGTTCCAGCCTCAACCCCTTTTGTAGTTCAGCCAATCCGCCTTCGTGCTGTTCCTCACACACGATCCTCCATCTCTCCCTCCTCCCCTGCAAATGGGCCATCTGTCCTTCATGACTGCAACACACTACTCCCTTCTGCCTCTCAGAATCCCTTGTTTACTGCAAGTTTGCTCAAGAGACACTTTCACTCAAAGCCTTTCTATCTCTCCAGCTTCCAGTACCGACAGATTTTGTATTTCATTTAAATAAATTTTATATACACTTATTTATGTATATGTAAAGAAAGTAAGTTCTCTGAGGGCGGGAATGGTTTCATTTTTGTCTTTGTATCCTCAGTGCTTAGCACAGTGCCTGGTACATAGGAGATGTTTAATAAATGCTTATCAATTAATTGATAAATAAATGGTCATTGGATTATACTGAAAAAATTTTCTATATAGCTAATTGTTCTCCTGTAATTGTGCTTTATCTACCCTTGAATTTTCACTTATTTTGTCAAGTGAATTGTGCCTCATTATTTGCCATTAAAAATTCAAGAATTTCTTGCAAAATGGATAATTTTGATTACATTAAATTAAAAATGTTTTGCACAAACAAAGCCAAGGCAACCAAGATTAGGAGGGAAGCAGAAAACTCGGAAACAATTTTTACAACCAGTGTCTCTGATAAGGGCCTCATTTCTAAAATATATAGAGAACTAAGTCAAATTTATAAGAATACAAGTCATTCTCCAATTGATAAATGGTCAAAGGATAGGAACAGGTAATTCTCAGATGAAGAAATTAAAGCTATCTATAGTCATATGAAAAAATGCTCTAAATAGAGAAATGCAAATCAAAATGACTCTAAGGTACCACATCACACCTATCATATTGGCCAACATGACAAAACAGGAAAATGATAAATGTTGGAGAAAATGTGGGAAAATTGGAACACTAAAGCATTGTTGGTGGAGTTGTGAAATGATCCAACCATTCTGGAGAGCAATTTGGAACTATGCCCAAAAGGCTATAAAAACGTGCATACCCTTTGACCTAACAATAGCACTTCTAGGGTTATATCCCAAAGAGATCATACAAATGGTAAAAGGACCCACATGTACAAAAATGTTTATAGAAGCTCTTTTTGTGGTGGCAAAGAATTGGAAATTGAGGGGATGCCCATCAACTGGGGAATGGCCGAACAAATTGTGGTATATCAATGTAATGGAATACTATTGTGCTATAAGAAATGATGAGTAGGTGCACTTTAGAAAAACCTGGAAAGACTTGTATGGACTGAAGCTGAGTGAAGTGAGCAGAACCAGGAGATCATTGTACACAGTAACAGCTATGTTGTATGATGACTAACATTGATAGACTTAGCCTTTCTCAGCAACACAAGGATCTAAGACATCTCCAAAGGTCTCATGATGGAAAATGCTATCCACATCCAGAGACAGAACTATGGAGTTTGAATGCAGATGGAAGCATATTTTTGCTCTTTTTTTTCTGTTTTGTTTTCTTTCCTCTTTCTTGTGGTTCCTTCTATTGGTTCTAATTCTTCCTTACAACATGACTAATGTGAGAATATGTTTAATAGGAATATATACGTATAGCTTATATCAGATTGCGCGCCATCTTGGGGAGGCAGGCGGGAAGGGACAAAGAGAAAAATTTAAAACTCAAAAGCTTATGGAAGTGACTGTTGATAAATCAAAATAAATTAATAAAAAAATTCAAGATTTCTGAATGTGGATTAATATGTTAAACATTAAAATCACAACAAAATCACAAATTCACAGAATCTCAACATAAGTAATACCATTTTCATGATTTTCAGTTTTATGAAATAAAAAGATTTACCTGATGGTTCACTATGCTTATATTCTATCTTGTGTTGAGGATTCTTCCTGTAAAAAAAAAAGAACAAGCTAAAATCAAGTTTACCAATTAATAATTGCTTAGAAACTAGTTTTTGACATAGAAACAAAAACCACCAGAATTGGCAGGGACCTCAGAAGCCATGCTGTCCAACTCATCCCTGAATAAGAATCCTCTCTATAATATGACCTAAAGTGGTTATTCAACTTTGCTTAATGAAGTACAATGAAGAGGAACTTTCAACTTTCCAAGGTATTCTACAGTATTTTGAGACAGATTCATTTATTGGGAAGTTTTTTCCATCCTAGTGGCCATCGTCTGGAAACTTTCCAGCTTGTCAAGGTTCTTCCTAATATTCTACATGTAGTCTCACTGGGGCATAATCAGGTCTAACCAGGAGTATCAATTAGAGTATCAAGAAAAAACTAGGCTTCTCTAAATGCAGCCACATCTCTCCCATCTTGTTCTTGTGAAGTTGATTCTCTGGACCCAAGGAAAAAACTTTTTATTGCGCTCTATTAAATTAAAAGTCTGCTATATGGCCTAGTGGATAGACCCTGGAATCAGGAAGACCTCAGTTCAAATCTGGCCTCAACACTTAGTAGCTACATGACCCCAGGCAAGTCACTTTACCTCTGTTTGCCTTATTTTACAGGAGGCAGAAAAAAATTTTTTTAAAAAGGAGAGCAAGAAAGCAAAATGGCCTTATGATGAGGTTTTACAAATAGCTGAGGAAAGAAGGAAAACAAAAGGCAAAGGAGAAAGGGAAAGATATGCCCAACTGAATACAGAATTCCAGCGGATTGCAAAGAGAAACAAGGTTTTCTTAAGTGAGCAATGCAAAGAAATATAAGAAAACAACAGAATGGGAAAGATGATATCTCTTCAAGAAAATTAGAGCTATCAAGGGTTCGTGTAAAAATGGGCATGATAAAAGACAAAAATAGTAGAGACTTAACAGATGTAGAAGAGATTAAGAGGTAACAAGAATATACAGAAGAATATATAAGAAAGATCTTAACATTACTCATAACCACAATGTGGTGGTTACTGATCTAGAGCCAGACATCCTGGAGAACGAAGTCAAGTGGGCCTTAGGAAGCATTGCTAACAATAAGGCTAGTGAAGGTAATGGAATTCTAGCTGAACTATTTAAAATCCTTAAAGATGATGCTGTTAAAGTGAGGCACTCAAATATGCCAGCAAATTTGGAAATTCAACAGTGGCCACTAGACAGGAACAATTGCAATCACATGCCAGCAAGGTTATGTCTAAGATTTTGCAAGCTAAGCTTCACCAATATGTGAACTGAGAATTACCAGAAGAGCAGTCTGCTTTTAGAAGAGTCAGAGGAATGAGAGACCAAATTGTCACCAATTGATGGATTATGGAGGAAGCAAGGGAGTTCCATAGAAACATCTACTTCTGCTTCATTGACTACACTAAAGCCTTTGACTGTGTGGATCACAACAAAACGTGGCAAGCCCTCACAGAGATGCGAGCACCAGATCATCTTACTGGTCTCCTGAGGAACCTGTATGATGGGCAAAGAACCAACAGTCAGAATCAAAACAACTGATTGGTTTAAGACTGGAAGAGGAGTACAACAAGAATGTATACTCACCTTATTTATTTCACTTATACACAGCATACATCATGCGAAATGCTAGGCTGGATAAATCAAAAGCTGAAATTAAGGTTGCTAGGAGAAATATCAACAAACTTAGATATATAGATGATACCACTCCAGTGGCAGAAAGTGAACAGGAATTAAGAAGCCTCTTGATGACGGTGAAAGAAGAGAGTAAAGCTGGCTTGAAAATTAACATCAAAAGATGTTAGAAGATCTTGGCAACTGGTTCCATCATTCCTTGGCAAATAAAGGGAGAAGAAATGGAAGCAGCGTCAGATTTTATATTCCTGGGCTCAAAGGTCACTGCAGATGGTGACTAAAGTCATAAAATTAAAAGACACTTGCTCCTTGGAAGGAAAGCTATGGCAAATCTAAACAGCATATTAATAAACAGAGACAACACCTTGCTGATGTATGGCTGTGAGATGTATGGCATGTGGACTATGAAGAAAACTGAGTGCCACAGAATCAACACCTTCAAATTATGATGCTGGAGAAGATTTTTGAGAATCCCTTGAAAAGCAAGGAGATAAAATCAGTCAATACTTATAGAAATTAATTCAGGCTAGACAGCAAAGGATGAGATGGACAGATAGTGTCACAAACAATGAACATGAACTTAGATAGATTTTGAGAGATAGTGGAGGACAGAAAGGCCTGGCATGCTATGGTTCATAGGGTCACAAAGAGTTGGATATGACTGAACAACAATATCTCTCTTTTATTTGTCTACAAAAACAGCATGGAAGACTTTGACAAATTACTTCCTAAAATCTACATAAATGGTATCTATACATCCCTTCAACATAATAGACTAGCCACACTATCAAAAACAAATAAAAAAAAGAGATGTTAAACTGGCAGGACCTATTCTTGATAAACCATGTGAGTCTTCTTTGATCATCATTTTCATTTCCAGATGTTCACTAACGTCTATAATAATATATTCTCATATTTTGCCCAGGAATCAAAGTCAAGGTTATCAGCCTATAGTTTTAAACTCTTATTTTCTTTCCTTTATTAAAAAATAAGGATATGTATTCTTCTCAAATTAGATGGTACCTTTCCTCTGGTCTCTATAGCATTTCAAAGAATAATGACAATGGCTCAGTCATCACAGCTGCCTGCAACCTCTAGAGTTCCTAAGGACAGTTAATTTGGGCATGACTTGAACTCATAAAGCACAGCTAGACACCTCTTACTAAATCTCGACTCATCTTGGTTATCAACTTCCTATTGGCCAGTTTGAGTCTGTCCTTTCCAATGCAAAGATCATTCTCTTTGGCAGAGAATGCAATGTATCTTGGTTGATACACTGTGGTAGTTTCCCTACTAACTGTTCATTTTAAAGACCTTGTGATTAGATCTCCAAGAATATAGGAAAGTACACACTTAAACAACCTGTTTACTTTCTCAGCAACCTTTTACTCTGGGCTTGCCAACTGCCTTTCCTTCTCTTTCTCTTCAAATCCTTCTCCTCTTTATTCTCTTTCCTGAGTTCTCCTTTGTTCTTCCTAAGCTCCATCCCTGTGTAACAGACTGCCATTCCTATTTTAGGCCATGATCTAGAAGTCCAAATTCTATTCTCAAGTGTTTGGCATCACCTTCATTACCAAGCTGTTCATTTCTCAAACATGTCTACTTTCTGAAGCCCTTGCCTTCAATAGGAAGCAATGATATAAATATCTGTTCTGCGAAGTCATGGGAGCTACTCTATCATATCTTAGATACACACTCTGGGAATGAATGAATAGTATTTATCAAGCACTTATTATGTGCCAAGCACTGTGCTAAGTTCTAAGTGCTAAGGATTCAAATGCAAAGATAGTTACTGCCCTCAAGGAGCTTGTATCATAGTAGAAGGAGACCCCATCTATAAATGGCATGCTTTTTCCAGAAGCAATGGTAGTAATGATTTGGTTACTGCTCTTAGAGCATGAAGTAGTAAGCAAGGAGTGACTTAGGGGGAAGAATCAATAGGGCTAACAGCAAGGCAATAATGTTTAAGTGGACAGGAGGTGAAATATATAGTCTGGGGGCTGACTAGATAAAGTAAGCTGATGTGTTTGCTGATGTGCCAATCAAGACAGCACAATTTCTTGCTGATGGTTCCAAAGTAGAAAGAATTAAGTCACTGAGGGTACAAATAAGTCCCAAAGTTGTATTTAATTGTGGCCTGGGCTAGTATTTCTACTTCTTTGACTTGTGCAGTTTGCTAATTTCACAAAAGACTGAAATACAGCCTTGTGGAAACAAGTTGAGTTGGGGATTTTCCACATTTCATTTCAGAGCTTAAATATTAAAATACCAATTATATTTTTGACACTGTTGTTTCACTGATAATGAAAAATGGTACATCTTGTTCATTAGTTTCCTACTTTAAAATATTAGTGACATTTTATTTTTTCCTTGTTTATGACAGATAGACACAACTCACAGAGTAGCTGCATTTTAATAAGATAATTTACATTTTTGAAGAGAAAAAAATTTAAGTCATCAAATAGTTCCTGAATGAATTAAAAGCAAATTATATCAAAGATTTTAGAAATGTTTATTTAACATTCTTTGTTTAAAGTCTGACTCTACTCCCTACATGGTGTGGAGATGAGATTGAGTTGTTAAAAACTATGCCAGTAAAGTGCCAATATTGCACTACCAATATGAAAAAGTTTCTACCAATATAAAAAAGCTTCTAGTAAGGACCAGGTGATAGACTATATGTTTGTCCTCCAAAGATCTATTCTAAATTCATAAATGATCATCATCAGATGGTTCTGCCACTAGGTGATGATTTTAGCAATCATGTTTATACTAGACATGATCAGAATGTCAGTATCAGTGGGACCAAGAGAGGTGAAATCGTGACCCTCGAAGTACTGAAGGGCAATAGATAGGCCTTAAAAATAAAGGATTCTAAGACCAAACAGGGAAGCCAGGAAACAAAAGTTATTAATTATTCCATTTATTCCCTATCATTCGATGCCTGACACACAGATCCCACTTGTGACTCTCACCCAACCCGTAAAATAATCCTTTACCATCTCTCTAATCAGATTATCTAAATCCTTCAAGTACCCAACTAAAATACCTCCCTTGACCACCCCAAAAGAAGAAATTATCTCTTTTCTCTGAACTTCTCTACCACTTTTTGTCCAGAACATTTAGCACTTATCATATCATTTGTTATCTTTCCTTCTAAATGTTTTGTCTTCTCAACTCCATTGTGGGCTCCTTGAAAATAGAGACAATGTCACATAATTCTTTGTATCCATTACAATGCCTAACAGTTTTTTTCATTTATCTTGGATAGAATTGAGCATGTTTCCCATTCTTAAGAAAGAAATTTTTCTCATTGAGCGAATAAAAAATTTTCTACGAAAACTGATGTGGATAAAT